AAGACATTATCTGTAAGGTATGACTCCATGAGTCTGATATGTCAGGTTGTTGTTTGATCAGTGTGTGAGACTGCTCTCCCAATTTTGGCACTAACCCCCAGATATTAGTAAGGAGGACTTTGCAGAGTTGACAGGGCTGTTATTGCCATTGTTATTTCTGGTGCTTAGATTGATGCCAGGTTATCTGTCAAGTTTCATTTCTTTGTTGAGACTTCGTAGCAATTGGTACAACTGAGTGGCTTACTAGCCTATTTCAGAGGGCAGTTGAGAGTCAACCACATTCTGTGGGTCTGGAGTCACATGTAGGCCAGATCAGGTGAAGATGGCAGATTTCCTTCCCTGAAGGACATTAGTGAGGCAGATGAGTTTTTCGGACAATTGGCAATGGTCTCATGGTTGTTGGTAGATTTTTAATTCCAGATATTGCACCATCTGCTATGGCGAGATTCAATCCTGGGACCCCAGACATTAGCTGAGTTTCTGGATTAATAGTCAAGCGATAATATCTTTAGGCCATCGTCACCTCCTTCTTTTATGAAGAAATGCTTACTGATATTTGTCCTAAATTTCACTTTTACTAAGTTAACCTTGACTCTTTCTGACCTACACTCCAAACCTTGTTGAGATATTACAATCAGACAAAAAGGGAGAATCAGATCTCCTTGTCTTAACTCCCTCGGTCAGCCACAACAAATGTTTTTATTTCCTTTCAGTACACAGCTACATCACACGCCATTTATAAACATTGTTAACTGGATTAAACTGAAAGAGCCAATTATGAGGTTTGGTTGACTGAAAGAAAGTTCTATTAGCACTAATCCCAAGGGAAAGTAATTGAAACATGATGAAAACACGTGCGAACAAAGTGAGTTTGAAAAGGAGAATGGTGCAGACATGGAGAATAGCGGTTGCATGGCTTAAAAGTTCAAATTCAGTGCAGTGTTAAATATTTAACCTGAGACCACGGGTTATTTGATTGTTAACTGGTGTAGCGTAAGACCATAAAACAAAAGAGTAGAAATAGGCTATTCACCCCATTGACTCTGCTCTGCCATTTGATCATGGCTAATATATTTCTCATGTCTTCTTATTTTCATGTCTTCTTGTAACTCTCCATCCCTTTACTATCAAGAACCTATCTATCGCTGTCTGAAACACGCTCTGTGACATGGCCTCCACAGCCTTTAGCAGCAAGTGAGTTCCACAGATTGACCGCCCTCTGGCTGAAGAAATTCCTCCTCATCTCATTTGCAAAGGGTCATTCCTTCACTCTGAGACTGTGCCCTCTGATCCTCTCCTATTAGTGGAAATACCTTCTCCATGCCCACTCTATCTAGGCCTCTCAATATCCTATAAGTTTCAATCAGATTCCCCCCTCAACCTTCTCAACTCCATCAAGTATAGACCCAGAGTCCTCAACTGCTTCTCATCTGACAAGCCCTTCATCCCTGGGGTCATTCTTGGGAATCTCCTTTGGACCCCTGCCAAGGCTAGCTCATCATTCGTTAGTTACAGGGCTGAACATTGCTCACAATAATCCAAATGTGGTCTGACCAAACCCATATACAGCTTCAGTAGTACATTCTGCTCAAACAACAACAGTACATTTCTGCCCTTGTATTCTAGCCCTTTCGAAATGAATGTTCACGTTTCATTTGTCTTTGTAACTGCCAACTGAACATGTGTGTTAATCTTAAAAGAATCCTGAACTAGGACTCCCAAGTTCCTTTGTGCTTCAGATTTCCGAAGCCTTTCCCCATTTAAAAAATAGTCCACACCTTTATTCCTCCTGCCAAGGTGCATAGCCTCGAACTTTCCCCCATTGTATTCCATCTGCCACTTCTTTGCCCACTCTCCTAGCCTAACCAAGTCCTTCTCCAGACTCCCTGCTTTCTCAACACTACTTGTCCCTGCACCTATCTCTGTGTCATCTGCAAAATGAGCAACAATGCCCTCAATTCATTCGTCTAGGTTGTTAACATATAATGTGAATAGTTTGGTCCCAACACTGACCCTTGCAGAACTCCACTAGTCACTGGCTGCCATCCTGAAAAAGATCTCTATCTCCACTATCTGCCTTCTGCCAGTCAGTAAATCCACTATCCATGTTTGTACCTTGCTCCTAACACCATGGATTCTTAAATTCTGTGCGGCACCTTGTCAAAGGCCTACTGGAAGTCAAAATAGATCGTATTAACGGGTTTTCCTTTGTCAAACTTGTTCATTACCACCTCAAAGAATTCTAACAGATTTGTTAGGCTTGACTTCCCCTTGGCGAAGCCATGCTGACTGAGCTCTGTTTTACCATGCACTTCCAAGTACTCTACACCTTAGCAATGACAAAGTTTGCAGATATCTTTTGTGTTCTCAATGAATGTTTGTTTTCCCAAATTGCCTTTTCACTGGGCACTGTGTTCTATGTGTTGACGGAGACTGAGGAGTCTTTCTGTCCTTGCTGTAACCTATTCATATTCTTTCTTTCCTCTCTGGGCTTAAAAGTAACTTGAAATAGTGTGTATTTATGAGTCTGGCTCCGTTGTCTTTCCAGTCCATATTCACTACTGTCATAGCTGAGGTCACTTTCTGGGATGATCTTTGCAATACTTCTTGCCATATAGCCCAAAATTCTCCAGCTCTTCCAGTAACACAAAGGTCATGACACTTACCGTCAGCCTTCTAGCAGCTCTCCGAATTGTTTATAGATTTCAGTGATCTAAACTAGACTAAGTACTTGTGGTACAGTTCGCTCAGACAATAGGCCTGATCATAATTTGTGCATGCCATAGTCTAGCACCCTACAGAGCAGCAATCGACAAAAAAATTAGAGTTGTACATGTTAAATGTTGAGTTTACAAAGTCTATGGTGTTAGGAGTTTTAACAAATATTCAGTGACCTGCATTAAATTGTATGTGTTGTTGTGCTACCCTGGACATATTTTCCCCAATTCGTGTTTGGTCTCAACTGGTCCTAACTACGACGTTTTAAATCAGAGATGTGAGCTCTGTCCCAAGCCATTGATGACCTTTTCAGAAGTCATTGGATATGGTGTCTCATAAGAAGGCTATTGGAAACATTCAAACACATGTAACTATGGTACATATGAATATGGTACACATAGTACCAAAATGCTTGAATATTTCTAACAGGCCTTCGAGTAAGGTACCATATATTGCGATCTAAGCTGGCACTGTGGTAGTGTGGTGGGAGTGCTTCCTGTTGAAGGATTATCTTTTGGATGAAATGTTAAACTGAGTCATTGTCAATCTGTTTAGTAAGTGTAATGGATCCCAAAGCATTATTCAAAGAGGAACAGAAGAATTTTCCTATTGTTTTGACCCATATCCATTCCATGTCTACCCTTTATCCCTCAACCATTACTATTCAAAACACAGATTATATTGACATTGATTTTGTTTGTTTTCATAATTTGCTACTGTGTACAAGTTAGCTGCTGCATTTGCTTACAAAGTTACAGTATTATTCAAAGTAATTCATTGTCTGGAAAGTGTTTGGAATGTCCTGAGTGTGATCTTTTTTATTTGTTTCCCTGTTTATTTTTCCTCTAGCTTATCTACTTTTCATTCCTTCTTTTGTATCTATCTTTGTCTATTGCATTTTCATTATTGCGGAATGATTTCCTCCAAATCTCAATTAACTTTGCCAAAAATGACTTGCTTTGAACAGATTCATGTCGATATTAGAAAAAATTTAGCCTGAATGACAGATTGTTAGACTTTGTCATTAATTGACATTGGAAAACACAGAGTTTGCAGATTTAAAGTAATTGGCGGAATAATTAAAGGCAACACAAAGATAAAGCGTTTTTACCAATTATCATAGAATACCTACAGTGTGGAAACAGGCCATTCGGCGCAACAAGTCCACACCGCCCCTCTGAAGACCATCCCACCCAGATCCATTCTCTTCCCCCTGCATTTCCCTTGTCTAACCCACCAAACCTAAACATCCCTGGGCACTATGGGCAATTTAGTATGGCAAATCCACCTACCCTGCACATCTTTGGACTGTGAGAGGAAACCGAAGCACCCAGTGGAAACCCACACAGACACGGGGAGAATGTGTAAACGCCACACAGACAGTCACCCAAGGCTGGAATCGAGCCCGGGTTCCTGGTGCTGTGAAGCAGCAATGCTAACCACTGAGCCACCATGCCATGAGTTTGGAATGCACTTCTTGAGAGTGTGGCAAAGGTTGGTCCAGTTGTGGTTCTGGAAAGGGAATTGAGTGAATCCTTGAATTAAAAAAAATCTTGCATGTCAATAGAAAAGAATGGAGAATTGTGACTAAGATGGTTTTGAAGGTAGCTGGTGCAAGGTTATTGGGCCAGGCAGCTGCCTCTCATGATGCAACTGTGCTATTATCCAATGGATCTAACATCAGAAAGATCACGTATTAGAATTAGAATGAAGTTTTATTGTCACATGTATAATAGGCCATTTGTGAATTTGAGTGTTGAGATTTCAGAAATTTTAGACAAATTGTAAAATTAAAAGTCTGAACTCTTGAAGAAGTCAGGAAGAACACCTAATTGCTAATTGCAGACCGCCTTTACTGGCATTTATTTACTTTCAGGAAAATGAAAATGATGTGTTAGAGGGGAAAAAACAGGCTATATTCAGATCTGGATAATTCTGTCATATAAGCTTATTGACTAAGGCTGCTAATACATTAATTTCCCAGTTACATTAATACTGTAGTTCAAGATTGTTTTACATTGCAACTTAAAGAATGTTATATTTCTTTATATGTACCTTTTTAATTTAGCAAAAATAACAACAGCATTTTAAGTGATGGACATCGAAATTTTATTTTAGCAGATCCTGTATTGCAAATTTTGTGGCTGTTGTTTCTACCTCACATTTTTGAATTTTGAAAAATATGTGCTATGCCCTAAAATGCAAAGTCAATTTCCTATCCAAAGAGATCTATGCTTTAGTAAAAACATGTCCTTAACTTTTTTTCCCTCTTCTGATCATAGAGATTTCCTTCCTCGAGGATCAGGCATTGTTACTAGACGACCTCTGGTTTTGCAGCTGGTTAATTGCAACACAGGTACTGTATTCTACTGAATGTGACTGATATATGTGTGGAGTTCATGATTATTGACCAAAAAATAAATCCTGGTCTGTGTGAACTGGATTCCAAAAGAGGAGTTTGACTGCTGTTGCGTTGATCAAGGCGAGGAACTTTAGCTTGATATGTTTTGACTTTTCAAGTTATTCTCCTGGATAAGTTTAGCTTCCTTTGTCATGAAGATGTTCACTGGCTCTGATGTCTAGACACATTTCTGGATTGTAGCCCAGGGAATATGAAGAAAACCTTGTTCAACAACTGAATCTGCCATACCCTTCTACCAGAAATTATTTTCATCTTCAAAAAGATCACAACCTTAGATTGAATTTTACACTTTAATCAGTAGGGGAATTTACTTAAAAATGATAAACATACTATTGCGTAACAGATATATACATAGTATTTTGCAGTTGCTATTAAACCAACTAGTAATAGTCAGTAAGCTATTCCTCTGCAGTTAACTTTTACATTTGTAGTATTAATTTATTTTTGTCTTTCCAATAATGAGACCTAATTTGTTGACCTTATCTCAGAAGATTTTGACTAGTTTGCTTTATCACTTTTCTTGAATAGCTTCTGTTGCTCAAATGCCACTGACCTCACTTGCTTTCTGCTTGTGAATAACTGCCAGCTACAGTTCTACACATAGCAGAAAGCAAGTTATAGAGCATTTCTGTGTTTGTTTGTGTATTGCTTGGCTCCTCATTGTCCAAACTTGGGAGACAGATGACTTATCATTTGTGTTGATTGAAGTTGGGGGCATAATTTTAACTGAAAAGGATTTTATGTCTTGTGACTGACTTAAAAATCAGATTGAAAGTTATGCTTAGACAAATATGTTTTGCTATTGCCACTGCTTTTTTCTTGTGCTTTTGGTGGGTGTTAAGGCCTTGGTGCTGCAACTAGAAGAGGAATACTGAGGTCTTCAAGCCATAGATTATTCTTCACGTATAAAGTAGCCAAATCAAATGATTGGAATGCCTTTTCACATGTAGCCATGATAGGGTCATGTCATGGTCTCCCTTTGTTGTAGGGACTATCTTTTTATTCTCAGTACTTTCAATTGTGGACTGAAATTGGAAAAGAGCTGTTTTAAAAAGTAAGATTATTGAAGGATTATTGCACTTTTTGAAGGCAAGTGACCTGATACTCACTGTAAGTGCTGTTTGCAAAGTGCTTGATCAAGTAGTAGTGGAACCCTCCAAGGGGTGTGTATAAATAGTGTTTCAGGTGGCAACAAGTAGCTGATTGGTCTGTGGACTAGAGACCATTTGTCAATGACGCACAACTTCTGCCTGCTACAATGATGTGATTAGGTCCCAGGAGCTGAAGAGCTAAAGATTGTGGGTGAGAGAGGAAGAAGCTATCAGATTTCTGCAAGGGTAGGAACTGTTTCCCAAAGTAAAAGGTATCTCAAACCTGAAGAAGCAGTCTTTGAACTGAGTGACGTGTTAGGCCTTTAAGGGCAGTTAAGAATCAGCCATGATGTTGTGGGTGTGGAGTCACATGTAAACCACCACATTAGTGAACTATATGGGTTTTTATGACATTCTGTGCCACTTTATTGAGATTAACTCTTTTAAAATATCCATTCCAGCTTTATTAATTGAATTTAAATTCCACTAGCTACTGTGGTAGCATTTGAACTCTTACCCCTAGAGCTTTAGCCAGGGCCTCTGTATTACTAATCCAGTTACATTACCACTACACCACTGTCTCTCCTTTTCTGTTACAATTCTGATGTAGGCATAACAACTGGTTTCACACACAAGTAGCAGTTCACAAATGGTTCATGTCAGCAGACTATTTGACTCAACATAATCAAATCCAATCCAATTGAGTTCATTCGCGAATATTCACTGGTCAACCCTATCTGGTTGCTTTCCTCAGATATAATCCTTTAACTACAGCAACAGCAAAATCATCAGGTTCCTGGAAGTACTGATCATATCCTAAGACTTGCCTCTACAGTACTGTTCCCAAATTCTCTTTGTTTTAAGAAGTTAACTGACATAACATTAACTGATTTTGCTTAGAGGTTATAAGAGAAAGTTATATCAACTCTCATTTAAGAATTGATCATTTTCAATCTTTTTTGTTTAAATATGTTTTTATAATTAAAATATTTGGATTGTTCTATTATTTACTTCAAAAGCAATTCAAATGGTAACTTATAGCTATAAAATTTAAGTGCTCCCAAATTGTCTTTAGTTTTACCTCGTCTTCCTATTTTTCTATGTTCTAGAATATGCTGAATTCCTACATTGTAAAGGGAGGAAATTTACTGATTTTGAAGAAGTACGTCATGAAATTGAAGTAGAAACGGACAGGGTAACAGGAACGAACAAAGGAATTTCATCAATACCCATCAACCTGAGAATTTACTCGCCAAATGGTGTGTAAAAACAAGATGAGAAAGGACTTTACTTCTATGTATTTTCTGAAGGATGTACACTGATTCTGCATAACACTTATGTAAAAAAAAACGTCAATCAAGACAGAAGTTTTGCCATTTGCAGTAGAAGTACTTCATGAAAGTAGCTAAAGTGGCAAAATTAATTTGTCCTGGTTTCTAAAAAACACAGGCTGTGTTAAAATCTCGGGCAATTGGAAGCAGATGTTGTGTCTGTATCTGGATTGTGCCTCAAATGGTTTAAGGCAAGCTAGTGTTTCTTGCATCACCCAAAGGGATGAACCTTAAAAATCAGCTGAACTGCTAAGTGATGAAAATTGGTCAACCTGGAGAACCACTCAGTTGTGTATTGTATACAACTGGGTATTGGGAACTGGAGGGAAAAAAACCAAAATCTTGAATTGACAAACCCTGAAGAAACACTAGAGATGCAGGTGGCACTAATAATACTGAATAGATATGCATTTCATTTGCAATACTTTCTAATTGCATGTTCAATGTTTACCTTGAGGGAAATCATATAGACCAATGACACAGATTTGTGAGCAAACAATTATGGTGCTTGTGAGCAGGTCTAACATCACTGACTTGGAACTGCAATTGCTGACTGTTTATTATTGATAATTCAATATTGAACATTTTGTGGAGTGCAGTTGTACAAGGGTCTAGGCCCGAAACGTCAGCCTCTCTGCTCCTATGATGCTGCTTGGCCTGCTGTGTTCATCCAGCCCTGCACCTTGTTGTACAAATAATGATGTGTTAGCACAATTGTTCTTCTCTGAATACAGGTTGGACTTAGGTATATCCTGTTGAAAACTTTAACTTTGAAGTCAACACAATAATAGGGAGTATAAATGAAGAAAACTCTTCGATGATGCAAACATTGAGCAAGTAGATATCACACAAAATAAATTGCAAAGAAGTTTAAAGTGATTCAACTTGATAAGTATTGAGTACAAATGTACATTAAATGGTAAAATTTCAAAACTAATGACAAAAAAGGGCAACTTAGTAGCTCAGCCGTACAAATCTTTTAAAGCTGTGAAAAAGCAAATAGAATCTAAGCTTTTATAAATTAGAGGCATAATATTAAAATATATAGATAATGTTGAAACAATACCAATTACTGAACACATTTAGAATGTTCTATCTGGCTTTGTCCACTCTAATAAATATGTCAAGTCTAAGGCCTGGGTGCAGATTAGATTTGTGATGATGCTAGGCATGAGAGGTTTTGTTTATGAGCAAAACTGTGACTCTTTTCATCAGAGCAAAGGAGTTTTATGAGAGCTAATAGAAGTATTGAGAATTGTGAAAGGTTTTCATAAGGTACATGGAGGCCAAGCTGTTCCTGCTGGTTAATGTGCCACGGATACCAGACATTGATTTACGATCATCCAGAAGAAAGTGGAAAGGTTAAGACACTCAGTTTTGTGTAAAGGGTTGTTAGGGTGATTCATATCCCATCAGAAACACTGATGGGAAGAAAAACCTATAACATTTATGAAGAGAATTTAATAAAGCTTATTAGGGATGGCAGGTAAATTGAATTAAGAGAATTAAATGTTTCAGAGAGTGACATATTTTTGGAGCAACAAATGATTCTTTCGTGCTATAGAACACTTTGCTTATAAATTGATTTAGTATGTATGTAATTGGAGATACTTAAAGTTCCTATTGTGATCTACATTTCTTGTTTCATTCCTGTATAAATGGAGTCTTGCCTTTGTGTTTGCTGTCACCCCGTTGTAATGGTTCAATGGGATTACTTATCCCCAAGTCTTGTTTCTGTTTGCATTTAAACATCTATTTCCATAATAAGTGAGGTTTCTTTTATGAGCTGAAACTTCACTCATGATCATAAATGAGGCAGTGTACCTAGATATAACAGTTACTTCTAATGAAATGTTTAATGGAAAATATTTAGGATATCCACCAGGGTCTCCTGTCATTTTACTGAAGGTGAAAAATAATATCACACTGTACCAGCGTATACTGACATAAATTACTTGACCAAAGTAACTGAGAAATAACACAAGGAAGAAAAAAAATACGAAAAAATGCTAAATTATGTAATGTTTAAAAACAACATGCTTAAAATCAGCAGGACTAGAATTGATCTGCAAAGAGTTAATACACGGTTGTAGACATTTTTCCATTTTCTGGCCAGCAAGACTGTTTAGACAAATTGAGATATAAGCTTTATACTTGGGAGGTAAGTTTGTAATGCTTGAATTTGCAGCTTCTTAAATAAATTTCTTCTCAAACTTGGGTTTTACAGATTACTGAAGAAAAATTGATTTTCACAGTGGCTAAATAATCAGAGTATGCAGTCACCAAGTCACTGTCTGAGTCCTCATCTATAAATGTTCCAAAAACCTTTCCACTGATCAAAATAACTTTACCGTAATTCTTTTCTGATCACATGCTTTTGCCATTTTCATGTGGAAAATCTATGATCGCCTGTTTGAAATATAGTGTAGGAGGGAAGTTTCTAGTTTAATTTAAAAATGAATTTTAAATATAATTAATCCCTGTCATATCTAACCATCGTGGATAATAATTTACTTTTACAAAAAAGTTAACATTGAGGTTGAATAAATGCTGCAAGAAGAATTGGAAAACTTGCTTCAGTAATTTAAAGTCTGGGACACTAGACACTACTGTTTGAACTGTGACACCATCGTTGTGCAACATGAGAGTCTCATAGCTATGAATCAAACTTAGTATCTGTCTGAGGAGCGTACGTGCGCAGAAGATAACATTTTTCAGAGGAAGTGTAATGTAGTCCTTCTCTAGCTGATGAAATTTTCAAATGAAGCATTCTGTATGTAATCTTCAACTGTGAAGCTGGTTGAAGAAAGCTGCCAGTAACCTTGCCTTTAGTTGAACGGAATTACTGGCAATATTTTGTTTAAGTACGGAAAAGTAACAGTTCCAGTCTACAGATGTCATGGATAAATAATGAAAATAGAATTGAATCTAAGTAAAAGTCATATAAAATACATAAACAATAAAGGGGATAATCAAAAAAGGGGAGAGAAGTGTACAGAAGAATATGATTATTTTAAATCTAACTTCTAAAACTACTTGGAGGATGAAGCAGAAATATTAAATTTAAAACAGCAAAGATAATAAAGATTGATGATAGAACAGAGCTCATCTAGTTTACAGTTAACCATTCTGGCAACCTAATGATAAAATGTTAATGATGCTGCTAATGAATTAAAGCAATAAGTGTAAATCAAATTAGTCAGCCAGAACTGGCGTGGAAAACTCTCATGGTAAGAGAACTTTGGAATCAATGCTTGCCTTCTCCTTACAGGAATATTAGATTTGTCATGTTTCAAGTTACTCATATGCTATTCCCAGACATGTTCTTTTCCAAAGCAAATGTATTTAATTTGTACAGGTTGTACCAATGTAATCTGGCAGTCTTGGGGCTGGGCCTTTTCGAACAGGAGAATTTGCCAGACTACAGGAGGTTGCATGCCAGTAGGGCTTCTCTTTAAGCATGTTATTTCTAAACCTGGTTAAAAGCACTGTACAATGCCATAAGTGAGCAGCTGTTAGAGACAGAGGCAGTAGTGGAATGTTCCTCTTGGAGGTTTTAGAACACTACAGGCCGTGCTCAGCTCTATGCGGATAGCGAACCTCTGGAGTCATGCGTGAAAAGGACAGTTCTGGAGCAGTAGTATAAAATGTGTGCAGTTCTGTTTGCATTTCCAGAGACTCTATGTGCCTTTGCAAAGAGATTAGAAGAGTCCATCTCCATTATGACTACCATGATGTTTTGAGCCTTTGTGCTGATGTCCATCCCCTTTGTAAAAGTGGCATCTGCTTGAATCATCAGACATAGCAGGGATCTAATATTTGCCCTGAATAATGGTCTGCTGCTTTAAACAGGATGGAGGAAAGTCTCACCCAGGCCATTCACTGGAGTATGGTGAAATGCTGTCCATCTCTTGATTAGTAGGAAAATGCAGGATCTGAGTGAGAAGATGGAGACAGGACAAATGGTAGTGAGGAGTCTTCTCCCTCAGTCCAGGCTTTGCAGGCTGTACCCTGCCCTGATGGAGGGTATTCTTTGCTGTGGCAGTGTATGGACGGGTCTTGATGGACCCAAAATCCAAAGGTCACCTGCCATGGATATGTCAGCTGTTAAAGCAGGACACCTCTTCTGAAGCCACAGGAGCAGCACCATGCACAAAATAATAGACAGAAGAATACATTTGAATTCCATCAAGGGATTCATTTGTGTTTATAACATTTTCAATTTCTTAATGTATTTGAAAATGCTAATAAATTAGTAACTTTATTTCATGAATCTATTGTCTTGCTGGATCCATTATTGCTTTCTGCACTCCAAAAGGCTATTAGCCTTGAGAACAATGTTATGACTGAAGTCAAAGGTGAGCCAAGGGTGCGAATGCAATGTGTGGATACTTGACTATGAGAATGAGTGGTGTTCATTTGGTTTGAGAGAGTGTGTGGTTCAACGGGTTTAGTATTGTTGTGCCATACAGCTTCATACACTCAGCTAAATTGAAGTGTGCTTGCTGTGGGCATCTCTGGCAACTCACAATAACTAGATGTCATAGTGCCGTAGAGCTGTACAGCATGGAAACAGATCCATCGGTCCAACTTGTCCATGCCGACCAGATATCCTAAATTAATCTATTCCAGTGGAGGTGACCTTGTCACATCTGGCTTCTCCTTATTCTGCTGCTGCAGCTGTTCCTCTTTTTCTTTTTATTTGTTATTTGGATGCGAGAGTTGCTGGCAATGCCAGTGTTTATAGTCCATCCCACATTGTCGTTGAGTGCTAGCGAATTGCTTTCTTGAACTGTTGTAGTCCATGATTTAAAGAATCCCACAGTGCTATTGATGGGAGTGAGGTGCTAGGGCCAGGAAGAAGCCACTATGCAGAAAGTTCCTGAACCTCTGATTTGCCTGGTGCTTATCTATTCTGCAGTTCACCA